GCCATCGCTATTAGGTTGGAGGCCATTGCTCTAGGTCGGAGGCCATCACTATTGGGTTGTATGCCATCGCTGTTGGGTTGGAGGCCATCGCAATTAGGTTGGAGGCGATTGCTCTTGGGTTGGGTGCCATCGCTACTGGGTTGGAAGTCAGCGGTACTGTCTGCAACACATCGTATCACAGCCCATCTCCTTTGTGAGGCCGCTGAGGATGGTTGATCTGGGTTCGTGCAATGGATATTTTGCGCTGAAGGCTGCATACAGGCATTGCAAAATGCACTGTGCAAGAGATGGGCAAAGTGTTGTGAAGCATGACATGTTTGAACACTGGTTGCGCTCTCAGTGCTAAGCGGTGTTCTTTGCAGGCATCCAGAAGCAGACATAGTGGCCGTTGAAGGCTTGGGCTTTGACTGGGCATTGCAAGCGGTAGAACGATGTATCAAACCCCGTGAGCCTTGTGAGGTGTGAAAGCTGTGAAACTCTGACAGGTTCAGGTGCCAATGCAAGGTTCCAGCGGAGACCCTTTTTCACCAAGAAGTCGAACGGAGGATAGAGGTCCTGAGTTGTCTTGGGTGGCTACCCTGTAGCTGAGCGTGCGCAGTGTCCACGGCGCTCGCTCGCCGGTTCCCGGACATGTTGCTTCAAGCGAAATCTCCAGAGGGACAACTGAATGGGGGACCACTTGATGCAATGCCTGCAGGTTCGGTTGGAATTGGAAATGGGACAGCTGGGTTGCAGGGCACAGTGGGGCAAATCTTGAGGACAGAAGCTGCCAGGCTGAAGAAGGGATGCTGATTCTTCATTTGTTTGAAGTTGATGTTGAAGCCAAGACATTCTTGTGAAGAAGACTTTACAGTGGGGTTCTCAAGACGATTTGCACGACTTCTTCAAGGGCTTCTTGCAGAGTTGAGGCTGTGCAGACTCATCTTCGCTGGATTCAAAAGCTGAGACTTACAAACTGCTTTGTCGCCCCGGAGGCCGCGTAACTTGGGCAATCGCTCCGATCGGTTTGAACCGTTTGAACCTGTGAAGGCAAGTTTTTTTTGCTTTGAAGTTAAGCTTCCCTTAATCTTAAAATATAGAAACCACATCATTAGTGCGAGTGTGAGCTATCCTGCGTCCATATGTAGTAGCTTAATGAGCTAGGAGCGAACATCTCCCTTACTTAATTAAGTAGGCGCCTACTTAATTAAGTAGGAGTGGGCTAAAATGAAAAACAAACAGAAAAAGACGATCAGAGGTTTGGGACTATCAGCACATTTGCAGCTTAGCGTCTTCCGGCAGGTGCGCAGAACGCAGACGCAACACAAATGGGCAAATGGACGAAGAAAAAATCACAACATGCACAAAACATTTGTTTTTAGTAGCAAGTGTATTCCCTTTGCACTTGTTTCGTTTTGTTACTAGCCATGCATTTGTTACTGCTTGCCAGACCGATCTGTGATGCAATGTTTCTACTTTCGGCCTGGACCTGAGAAGACCGGAGAAGCCAATTGGGCGATTTTGGGCCCTTTGCGCCTTCGGTTGGCTTCGAAGAATCCCAGCTCTCTCGCTCTACTAGACTACTGTAGAAGTTACTAGACTACAGGACCTGGCTACTGATGCTACTAGCATAACTAGCATGACTAGCTAGCTATTTGTAGCCCAGTTGACCTCTCCTACGTCCAGAAAAAGAACGCTGATGAAGGCTTCTTGCGCAGACCTGCCCAAGTTGAGGTTGTGCACCACATCGACAATGTCTCGTCCCAACAATATGCCAAAGCTGGACTTTCAAGGCAATGATTGTGGCATTGGAATTCAATGTGATTCAATGTCATTAGAACTGTATCATTTCAATATGTTATCATTTTTTGAATTCTCGTGAAGCCGAGCAGGGTGCAAGGTGGCATTGACCTCATTGCAAAGCTACTGCTCTTGTCTCCCAGGCAGCATGCACAGGGAGTCAATGCATCACCTGCTCAGAACTACGAATATCACCTATATAAGCAGAATGGAGAAACATAAGACACTAGTAACAAGGTGCCTTACTACTAGTAACAAGAAGCTACTAGGGGCTCCTGGCA